GGGCAACCGTTGCATCTGATGCAGGAGTTTGCCCTGCAAGCGAAGTGTCATGGGTTCAAACCCCAGCTCTGACTTTCAGTGATGTGTACTTTGGCAAGACACCCACATTGCCTGCTGATGGTAGTCAGACTAGCAGCCTCTATATGGGTGCCTTGCTTCTGTCAGTGAGCCCCAGGGCAGCTGTGGCTACAGTGTACCTTGTGCGTGAATGGCTAAACGTAGTGGGAATCACTTTGGTCAAGTCTTCTGACTTGAAAAAGTGTACATTTAAACAAAAGAGTACATAAATACATTAACCATTGTATAGTTTAGATATAAAAAAAAAATCTAGCAATTTTGCAAGGAAGGATGGGGATGTTCCCCAAGTGCAATTATGGTGAAAAAATTAAATGCATGTTTTCCTTTAACTTAATAATCATGGCTATTTGTTGTTCTGTCGTACAATAATCACACTAACATACATTTCATTTTAGGACTTTTATGTGACAAAATACTTAAAATTAAAAAGGGTAACCTATGCATACTTTTTCAAGGTACTGGACACAGGAAATGATAAACCAGTGTTATGCAGTATAAAGGAAAATGGCAATATTCCATGGGGCAATATTATATTTTCTCGATTAAACGATTAATCGATTAAACCTTTCTATTACAGAGAGTGTGGCTTTGTGTTCAATGTCTGGAAACGAAGCCAACAATTTGATTATCAAATGTCTAGTTTTAGGGGGAAAAAAACACAAGATTTATTAATTCTTGTCAGTATTAGATCTGCAAATTAGATCTGCAAACACACCTCTGGCTGTGTTTGTATTTGAGGATATATTTATGGAGATGTGCTCTGCTCTCAGAAGACAATTTGGAGGAAAAGGACAGAGTAAATAATGAGAGGAGTTTGAGTGTAAATAAGATCTCCAACCCTGGCCTTGATATGGATTTTTTGTTAACTTAGAGCGGCTTTGTTTCCATTTTAGCTACAGATCATCTGTGATATTTCTAAACAATAAATTAGAAAACAGAGACTCAAATTAAGACTTGTAGAAAGCCTTAAAAATGTTTCTCACTCACTTTTTTTCAATTTTGTGATGTTATTTTACATTTCTGTTGGATATTAACACAAGGTTAAAAAAAAAAAAAAAATTATATATATATATATATATATATATATATATATATATATATATATATATATATATATATATATATATATATATATATCATGTCTTTTTTCCTTTTAAATAATATATCCAATGACTCAAACTTGCTGTTTTGTCTATAGAATAAATCAGCCCCAGATTTTTATGTGAGTGACCTAGACATGCACAATATATTAGCATTAATATTGGTATTGGTCAATGTTAATGTCATTTTTAAGTAGTTACTGCTACCACTATGATTTACAGTGGAATGGTGAATCCACGGTCCCATCTGTTATGACTAGTGAACCATAGCATTTTACGTATAGGAATACAAATAAAATGTTGATATTTTAACATTAACATTTTTGACCTGAACTTTCTGATGTTTTGATCTTCATGATCATCTGCATACTGTTTGTTTTATAATGCTAACTGACACATTTTTTACTAAAGTATGATCAAGTTAGATAAAGTTGGATAGAGGCAGATTATTTACTAACATGGCAAATGAGATAATAGTAATAAAAGGTAAGTGGCGGCAGGGATCTTAAATTATGGGGTTGTAAATGCACAATACAATTTTTATTTTGTTTTGCAACTGTTCAGGTTTAGGATCGAGAACTCATGAATGAATGTGAAACTAAAGGCTCTAATCTACTAAAGGATTAGGTGTATAAAAAAAGTGGAAAGCTTAAATACTGACCGGGTAAGCAAAGGGGTTTGCATCTCTTAACAAAGGTGTTTTTTTTTTCTTCATGAATATTCTGCTGATCAACACAATATCCAAAAGAACATGAGGGTATGCAAATGTATCACTTTACACCCTCAATGCTATTTATCAATCCTGTAACAGATTGTAAGTGCAGTATCTGGCACATTTAAGTGAGATCTAACCTGTAAATTAAAAAAAAAATGTCTGTGGTCATTGTTGTCAAAAAGATTTATTGGTGGGTGGACATTTAAGAGAGAGAGAGTTTCTATGGAGGTTTGAACATGGTTGAATTGTCAGAAATTAAGATAGTTGAGACATATTTTCTATCAAGCAATTATGTTTTTTGTTGAAACTGCCTGCAACAGTGCATTTTCTTGCTTCCGTGTGAATAATTCCATTGCAATTTTGAAGTAAGAGGCATCTGCCAGGATAGCTTTTCTGGTGTGCTGTCCAGCAACACAGTATTCATTGTAGAGGTGATGGGCTGTGGGAGTCATTTGTCTCCCTGCTCTGGTTACCTTTAATCCCAATAATCTGATCAAATGAGAATGTGTCTAAAAACAAGTCTGTCTTTAAAACTGATAATAATATTAATGGAACCAACTGCACCACTCGTGAATATGAAGTAGGGTTGGAAGTTATCGATTAATGAATTAAAGTTTAACTTTTAGAGGAGAGGGAAGCCTGCTGCCCCTTTGACCTGTTCCCAGACAAGGAAGCAGAGAAGTTGCGCTGCTCCATCATGCAGCAAGGCTAAAAACCCGCTATATAGTTGAGGGTTTATATCCACAAAGAGAACTACATAAAGTGTTTTCTGTATTCTTGGTGTATCCCAGACCAGATTCAATCCCCTTTTCAAGTCATGTAAATGTATCTCTTTTTTTTCTCACTTTTACTTTAAATACAAATACAGATTATTTTATGTTCAGGTTTGAAACAAATAGACAAACACCTGTGCCCTCCAGTGGACCGTGGTAACACTACAGCACTGAAAGAAATTATTTTTACTGACATTATCAATTAATCAGATAGAACTAATTTTTATCTAGCATTTAACTGTAAGTCAATGTTTTGTTTATGTCCCTAATATGGTTATCCTTTTTTCCACATAGTTAAAATTTATGTAATATTCCAAGGTTATATGCTTTAAAGTAATAAAATCAAGGCCTTCTCTCTGTATCTAGGTATTTTATTGCTGTTTAAACTGATGTGGTGCTGGAAAAGGACAATCTGCACTCTTACATTTTATAGATGTTATGCATAAGGAACGTTGTTAGACAAAATAAATAGTTTAGTCTTCTGTTTTGTTGTATAGCAGATGGGATCAACTATTAAACAAAACAAAAGCAAAATGGTCCTAGGTGTCTAATAAAGATTATGTGATTCAGATGAGACAGTTCGGAGTGATAATATTTTTTTAGAAATGTGAAAAAAAGAAAACTCATCCCAAACTCTGGTAACAGGAGGTATCACGTGTAAGATCCTCGTTTAAACAAATTGGTGTGCAGCACTTTCTCACCAACTCTAAAATGTATGCACAATCTTTGTAAATCACCCTCTACTGATGCACTAATTGCACATGCAATTTGTTTTAGCTGTTCCTTATTTACAATCTTAGTAGATCAGAGTGTAACTTTTTAATAGGATAAAGCATCAAAACATCAAGTTTTGCTTTTATCCCTATGTCAGTTCTCACTTCTTCTCTTCGCCAGCTTACTTTCATTGTCCTCATATTTTCCCCCCATCAAGCAGTCTAACAGTTCCACTGTCATAGTTGCAAGAACAATAAAATCCATCTTCTGCATCTTTTCTCTGTAATCCTGCATGAAAAAAGCCTAACAGAATATAATAGACATCTTCTTCTCTGATCTCTTCCTACACTTCTTATGCAACAGCAATTAAACTAGATATTTGTGCCAGCAACTAATTTGCTTTTAGGTTTTGCAGAACTGTGGAAGGATTTTACATTCTTTTTTTTTCTGAAAAATTAAATGTGATGACTACTTATAGTCTGTATCAATAGCTTATGTGACGTTTGAGGAAAAGTGACACCTCTGCACCTCATGTTTACAATTCTTTCAGCCTTTAGCTAGGAAGCAAGGTAGCTTACTAATGGTAAAAAAAATAACATCTGCTGGGTACATGGAAATTAATTAGTCATTGAAAATGTAAAATAGGAATTACAATTTTGACATTATATGGAACAAGTTTCTTGCTCTTGTCAGCAAGCAAAAGGTTTTGCGGGGCAAAAGTACTTGCCCCAGATGCTACTACATCACTAAGCGCCATCCCCCACTCTAGAAACACATGCACACCAATTCACCCCACTAGTGTTTTACTCTCTATAACAAGGGAGTAAATCCAGATTACTGAGTCTCTTTAAGGGAGGGAGATAAGAAGAGATTTGCTAAAAGGGAAGGGGGAAGGGATATTTCAGCAAAATGAGGAATCATAAAGTTGTATTATAAATATTCATATAAAGAGTTGACATGATTCCAATTTTTTGGATTTGATGTTTTTCCATCAACTGAGCAGACAGCTCTAACAATAGAGGGCAAACATTATTTTATAATATTCTCAAATCTCAGACTGTGATGTTCAATGACATGCAGTTGTTTTATAGACAGCAGGTCAGAGTAATCCCAACTCAAGGAGAATGAAGCAGTAACACAGCATCAAGGTAATTTCAGAGAGTGTAATGGGCAGCAGTTGTGTAGTGGCTCTGCTGCAAGCATGGGGCCTGAGGGATTAATGTGCAATCAGACTGGATTTGATATTTACTGACAGCACACAGGACTTAGCTAAGCGGACTGTATTTCATTTGTTTGCAATGAAGCCGTGCACCATGCCTGGCCTCCTATCCTTGCAGTGTATGTCAGACAGATCTGAAACCTGTTGACTGCAGTACATCATCAGCAGTTTCAGGTAGGTGTCTTAGAAGGATGTGGAGAGAGAGGAGGGTGTGTTGGTGTTTTCCAAGAGGCATCAGAGGTATTGGCAGCGCCATCATCACCAGCACCAGATTTCCTATCTGGTTCATGTGACATCACAGAAGGAAGTGGAATTAAACAGGCTTTATTTGGATGTAATCCTACATAGCAGTCGGCAGAGCACGTAAAATGTCCCACCGAGGGGAGAGATAAACCATTCTGGATTAGTACAAGCCCCAGCCCATCCCAACCAATAACCAAGCCTACACTTTTTTCTATCTTTTTTTGACCTACTAACATTTTTTTGCATCTTTCTAAAGCTTGCACCCTGTGATCGAGTCTTCTATGGATATTTCAGCTACCTCTACAATGTTGTGTGATATGGATGGTTTTGTGTGTGGTGTCCTCTTTCCTCTTGCACAACAAGCCAGCATGACCAGGGATTAATTATTCAAGGACTGCCAACTAAAAAGGGAGTCATCTGATAGCTGGGACTTATCACACGCTGGTGTCAGGTGAAACGGTGCACTTTGTTGTGTGTTGAGTTTTTTGTGCTTGATATATGCTTCATTTCAGTTCAATCTTTGATGCTGCATGTGAAGAATTGAACTTTGAATACTGCCAAGAGCTTTTTGTCAAATTTACTTTTATATCTGTCTTTTGTTTTGTTTTGTTTTTTTGTCATTTCTTTTTTTGCCAATGCTCGTCCCGAACAAACAATTTGGCCTTGGACGTTCCCATAGTTGGGATACATTAGGAGGGAATGAAAGTCAGTGGGAGAGACAGTGTGACGCTGTATATGATCAGCAAGCAAGAGTAGGAGGCCGACGGAACTCCCTGTCATACGGGGAGGGAGGAGGGTGGTACGAGGCTGCACAGGGCGTGTGTCCCCCTGACCTGGATTTGAAACGAGCTTCATATCCCAACCAGGACTCTTCCTACGGACAGGTTTACGCAGAGCGGCACGACCCACGCGGACTCAGAAAAAGCTCTGTGCCAGACATAAACCACTACGAACGGGTACTAATGGCTCACCGGGGATCAATTCCACACCAAGATTATTACTCTCATGATCCAGCCATGACTCCTCGGCCATCTGAGGGGCTCTACAGATCAGAGCACCAGCCTCCGCCACCTCAGCCTCATCAACTTACTAGATCAGGCTCCCAGTTTGGAGTTGCTCCTGGGGCTCGTGGTGTTTGGGATCAAGGTCAGCCTGGCAGAACTGGACCCCGAGGCCCTTCATCACCTGTGCCACCGCCACCACCTCCCACAGCCTTTGAGTTAAGTCGGACTTATAGAGAACCTGGAGGTATAACTATTGCCAAAACTATGCAAGACAGCCAACAGCGTGTACCCTCCAGGGATCCACCACCTGCTCATTATGGTATGGATCATCCATCTCCTCGGTATGCCAGTGAGCCTCCCCTTCCGACTGGGCAGTCCGTCTACACGGATGCTGATGGGCGCCCTCTAGATCCACAGCAGCAAGTTGCCACCTGTCTTGTTGTAGATCCAGCTACTCAGGGTATGATTAGGCAAGAGACTGCATCACCTTACACCTTCCAACAGCAGCAGCAGATGCAACAACAACAACAACTGCAGCAGCAACAACTGCAACAGCAACAGTTACAACAGCAACAACTCCATCAGCAACAGTTGCAACAGCAACAACTCCAACAGCAACATTTACAACAGCAGCAACTTCAGCAGCAACAGTTGCAACAACAACTTCAACTTCAACAGCAACTTCAACAGCAGCAACCACTACAACAGCAACCAGTTCAACAACATTTACAACAACAACCATTTCAACAGCAACAGCTGCATCAGGACCAGATGCAGCAGCATCCTCAACAGCCACTTCCACCTTCACCAGCCATACCACTGTCTGATCCTAACCTTGCTCTATCCTCTCCACATCCAGCTTCACCTGCTCAAATCCAAACTGCAGCAGTTGTTTCAGCAGTACATGCACCTGTTCAGGCTGCCCCTACTCCTGCTCCTCCTCCTTCAGCTTCCCCACTTCCTGCGCCACCTTCTTTGCCTGCCACGTCGGTTCCGCAGACACCTTTACCTGTGGACCCCAAAAAGACAGTGGATCCAGAATTCCTTTCTTTGTTGCGAAATGAAGGTCTATCAGAGAGCACTATTTCTTCCCTCATTCAGCAGGGCTTTGACTCTAGTAGTTTGTTGGCTGTAATGGAGGAAAATGATGTCCGGACTGTCGCCCCTAACCTTGGGCAGGCTCGTGTACTGTCTCGATTGGTTCATAACTGTAAGAGACCCATTGAAGCTACACCGGCCCCCTCGCGGCCTCAGACACCAATGCGAGGTCGCTCTAATAGCTTTAGCCATCGCCCAGACATATACCAGCAACAACATCATCACCATCCACCACACCTTTCTCAGGCTATGGCTATGGATCCTCAGTTAATGCCCCCACCAACCCCTGGGGTCATGCAAACCATTTCCCCAAGGACAGGAGAAATTGTAAATCGTAGGCCAAGCAGTGCACCCTCTCAAAACCTACTTGAAACCACAGGGGCCTATCCAGGCCAACCACCACGTTCTCCTGGGCCATACACTGGAGCCCTTATGCCTGTCCAGTCAAGACCAATGTCTGCGTATTCTGCTGGGGTAACAGTGCCGGGGATGCCTACGCAGGGTATGCAGATAATTCCGCAGCAGATGACAGGGTCGATGCCTGCTCTACCAGGATCCATTCTTTCTATGTCAGGTATGCCACAGCACATGCCTGTATCATTGCCAGCATTACAGCAGCCTCCCCAACAAGTACCAAAGGCATATTCTACAAATTATACAGTCCCTATGGAGCTGATGAAGAGGGACAGAAATTTACAGCCATTATCACCCATGCATAGCCCTCACCCAAGCCCTCAGCTGATGCGTAAAGGTGGGGGTTCTGCAGTGGACAATGCACTGGTCCCTATGGGAGCTCCTCTTCAAGGCCAAAGTGTGCTGACTGCTAATCAGAAGTTAAGCCGACGCACGGGTCCTCCTGTCATTGTGTCCACCATGGCATCTCCAGACACAAGTAAATCTCTTTTTCTCCCTTTTTCTTAGAAATTGATTGTTTTTATAGTTATGCTCTAGCTTTAACTTTGTTGCTATACATATTTAATAGATATGCATTTCATCCTAGGGAACCTATTTTTTTTGGATGATCCATATACTGCATAATACTATTCTATCAGGTTATTTCGTTTGAGAGCTCCACTATTAAAGTGACCAATAAACAAGGCAATTGAAATATGCTTTAAAATACAAACTAGAGTGTTAGATTGCATTTTCATGGTCAAGGCAGTTTCTGTCATTTGACTTGATTAATAATTTTTGCATTTTGCTTTCAGATCCACAATATAGTAAATGTGTTTAGTTGAGTGTAATTATTGGGAAGTAAATGGTATAAAAACATAATTTTTCTTATAATATAAAGTGTTGCTGTGAAGTTCCGCAATTGTTTTCCTTTTTTTTACTATGCTGCGTTGGTGTTCCCTCGATCTATCTTAGATAACGGCTGTGTGTTTTCTTTACTTTAACTATGCATGTGAAGTGAAACGCTTAATGTTGCTGCCTATCTCTTGCATAAACAGATTTTAAATAAGGCTTTTGTTATAATATACCTAAAATCTCTTCTCTGTCCTTCTTAGATGTCATTGTGTTCATACTAAAATGAAATCTATCTAGCTCTCCTTATCTCTCAGAGACAGATTTTTGTTCATACTGAATAGTTATATCTGGTTCTATGCTGATTTAATGCTAGTGTTTAATCATAAATGAGAAATAATACTATAAAATAAAACCACAAAGGGATGTGGCATGAAGTATTTTGGAGACAAGGCTGTCTGCATCCTTTCTGGGACATTGAGGATGTTAACGACTGACCTATGTTCAGATTGCAGACTGTCACTCGCTGCATTCATGTTGGAACAGCGAATATGAGGTACAAATGTCAGCCCATATAATTTGTACAGATAAATAATAGATAGATAGATAGATAGATAGATTAGATTGTGACTTTGCAGTCTCCATAGAGCACCTTCAAGCACCTGTTGTACTCAAAACTGTTGCCTTTTTTCACTTCAAAAATAAATTATCTAGAGTAGCAGAAAAAGCTTTAAAGCCACTTCAACAAAGCAGAAAACCCAACCATCCTTGCAATCTGCATCAAACAATAAAAGAGCAGCTCTAAAATTAGGATTTTATTTATAAATTGAAAACAATCTCTAAACCAACAGCCTTATGTGAAAAATCATCAAGCCCTTGTAAATTCTGACCAATAATTAGCCACATTTTATGGATACCTTTTGTTACGGTGTTCTGCTTTTGGGATGAAGAATTTTTTGGTCTGAGAATGTTGTGTTTGAAATTCACTGATATTTTGTTTTTAGAGAAATTCCTCCAATGTTTCTCAGACATATATACAATAATAATGTTTCTCCATGTCCTAGGGGTTTAAAAAAAAAGAGAAATGCTTGGTGGATTGGCAGTTGGTCTTAAGTATACTCTCTATAGTCATTATCAATTGTCAGTGGAAGCTGTTTTACATCACTAGTGTCATGCTGAAATTCTACTCTCTTGCAGGTTCTTACTCCCCTTAGGTGCCCATTAATACTAATGTTTTTTGGCACCTACTACAATGAATCCATTATTGTCAACAGAGCTTATATGAAAGAATTACTATTTTCCCAATGTTTTTAAAAGATCAGAAAAATTAAAAATTAAAAGCTTTTAGACATAACGTATCACGTTGCAAGATTTGAATGTGTTTTAGGTGCCAAAGTAGTTTTTAACAGGAAGTTTACATTATGTATTTTATTTATTGTTACATAAACAAAGAGATAAGAGATGCAAAAGCTTGATACATCTTGTCGGATTGCTTTAAATAAGAGATTTCATTCTGTTTTTAAAATTAAAAGTTGATCTTTCCATTAGGATCAGAGAGTAAGAGCGAAAAAGAACACCAGCACATGCATCAGATAGAAAAAAAAAATTAATTGCTTTTCTTATTGTGTTATTGTTTAATTTTTTCTGTGCAGGTGGTAATGATAATGGGGAGGGATATCTAATCCTTCAGATCCTCAATTCCCACTGCTATACTAATCCATAAATACTTTAATTTAACTCTGACCATCTTCAACTTTTAGACATGCTTGAATTGTCAAGGCAGATCAACTAACATATTAGACCAATGTAAGTTGTCACCCCTAAGATCTTTAAGCTTAGGAGGTGTAAAGTATCCCAATTGCTTTTACATGCTAACAGGCTGCAGTTTTCGGCTCTCATGGACTTACATGTTGGAAGCAGGTTTCTCTTAATGTACAACAAGCATAACTTTGTTAGTACACATGCAGTTAGAAGAGGAGACCTTATATGTGAAGCTGGAAACATATTGCTAAGTTGTGTGCTGCTAGGCAACATGGGATTTGGTGATAGATGGCTATGCTTCTGCTATTTGCATCTGTGCATTGTCCAAAAAATAATTAAATATTAAGGTTTTATGTTTATTTTTTCCTACCAATGTCACATTTAGAAGGGTTAAAAAAAAAACAAATGTATTCAATTTTTGCAATATAAATTTAGATGCCAATATATGCTGTGTTTTTTTATTTAGATTTAATTACAAAATTATCTGTGATTTGAGTATTATCCATATTGATTATAAAGAATTGTGCCTTTAGATTAATAGTCTGTGTGATCACAGATGGCCTGTGCATGCAACATCCAAATTTATGATGCACAGTGAATTATCATTGAGTAGGAATAACTGCTCAATCCAGGACCTCTCCTCCCCCACTCTAGCATAATGTAACCCATAATATGACCCTGTGGGACAGGAATTATATTGGAACAAACGGAAATTGCAACATTGAAACAGAAATGGATAATATGAATAGATACTAAGCAGCAAGATATAGCTAGTGTTCAATTGATGTGCAATTTGCTCCCTTATTATAAATAATATTTTTTAAGAACCTATTAGTTTTTAGCCCTACCAAATCTTGATCTCCAAATGAAAACCTTAATTTGCTCAAGTAAGCTTTGATGACCAATTGTTTCAGAAATGATTAGGCACAAACATTATAGGATAATCCTCTTTTGTTAACTTTCCCAGCATGCCATCTAGTGTCTAAAGCAAGGCTTCTCTGTGCTGGTTTACCTTTTAACACCCTCTCTTAAAAAGGGGCCCTGCTCCATTTGTTTGGACGTCCTGAGGACGGCTTAGGTCAGTTGTACTCTGCGTGACACACTAGCCGTTTTCTTTCCTTTGCCCCGGTGTGGTGACGACTGTGGATTGGGACATATTAGTTCTGGGGATTGCAGATTATGTGTTTGCTGGGTCCTGTGTTAGGTCAAATGCAGTGAATAAGGGATAAAGGAAACAAGAAAGAGGAGGGACAGACAAAGAAGGAGAGTGAGAGAGAGAGTCATGCTTTCTTTTAGGTGGGAAAGGAGAGCAGAGGGTTGTCAGCTGTCATTCAAGGGTAGCTCTTAAATCTTGTGGACAGAGTCGAACACAGACCTTAATCTCAACAGAGTAAAAATGTAATGTCTTCAGCTCTTCTGTTAGAATAAGGCTTTGTTTGACTTAATTTTCTCCCAAATCATAATGCACATGTGTGCTGAAAGAATAATGTATAATTTACTAACATTTTCTCTAATGTTTTTCATTTTCTTTCTTTTTGGTTATATTAAGGTGTAATTAACTATCATATGCGCTTACATTCATACATAGCATGACAGGTTTTAGCAACATTTTTCACAAGGCTTAATATCGAAACGTTTTTGTAGTTTTAACAAATTTAATAAATGTATGAAATTAAATCATTATTTAGATAAAAAGAAGAAAAATGGACACTCCTGGAACTAATAAATGTAACTTTTATTGATGTTTCCAATCTCAAATTAAATAACTTTACAAAAATCCCAGCCTTACTCCAGTATGTTTGTTCAGTGTGAGGGAATATCCAGTATTAAAGATTGTTTTCATGATCATCATTAATGTAACTTATTAATTATATGAATTTATACTTCCTTTGCCTCTACTGGTCAGTGTCACTGAGCTTTAAATCAGTAAACTATTGATTTCTAATTGTCCCTATGTGATAGGCCCATCAGTTTTAGACCCTCTTCAAATTGGACAAGAGAACATAGCATTCAGGGAATACATCAGAAAAAGAAAATTATCTAAATGTCTCATATCTACTAGAAAACCTGAGAGTCCCTAAAAGGGCTGGACCAGAGTTTATCTCAAGAAAACTGAGGAAAATTAATGAAAGTAAATCAACCTCAAAATATCACAGCCAGAGTCTCAGTTTGAGCTGCAACTTGAGTTTAATTGAAAATAATTTTAAACATATTTAGTAAATAGGGAGGCAACTGTAAAGGCTAAGGCTCTCTCTGGGTTATACCTAATAGCATCTGCTTTGTTTCCAGTGTCTTAGTTGTATTTTATAGTGAATAAAAGAGCTGGGTAAGCCGTCATTTCCTGGTCCGTCTTGATTTATTTTATGTTAGAATGTCTGCAATGTTAAGTCACTGTACATGTGTGTATATATATATATATATATATATATATATATATATATATATATATATATATATATATATATATATATATATATATATATATATATACATATATACTTATATAAAAAATATTTCTACTGATTTCAGCCTTTAGTTGTTATAGATTTAGTTTTTAGGTCCTTTATGCCAGGGTTCCTCTGTTCAGGCCCTCCAGGTTTGGTCTTCTGCACCTTTAAGATGTGTCTGTTTCCATTTGTCTGAGTCAAATGACTTACTACCTACTCAGTATGGAGCAAAGCTCTCTAGAGTCCAGCCAATGACCTGATTATTTAATTCACCTTATGGTCCGGAATTGAAGAGTCCTGCTTTTTATTGACATAAATGTGTTTTACTTTCAGAAGCATTTGAATATGTGCAGCTGAATGCAGAATAAATGATAGAATCTTTAGTGGAAATTATCTTAGATATTTACAAATATCATTGCTTAAAGGTTCCTTTTTCCCC